AATGCGACGCTGCCGGCATGTTTCAAAAAAGCCCAAGGCCTATGTGCCTCTACACGACCCCGTCACCCAAATCCAGCTCCCTCCCTTGACAGCTCGCGCGCTCGAACTCTGAGGGGGCCGAGCATGCACTTCATCTGGTTTGGCATACAGGGCAATACTACTTGCTTTAGCGCCGAGGGTTTCCATATGGGATCCACATCTTTCCAGATGCTTCCTTGTTGGCTCACAGAATGCAAGAACTATAGTGGCTAGAGGTTTGGGAGAATGAGCCAGGCTTTTCGGCTGCATGTACTTCGAGAGCACTTGGTTACCGATGGCTGTTTAGCATCATGAGGCTTGGTTGTACAAATATTCTCGGCCAGTAGCGGGGCCTAGCCGAGCCAGCAAAGAAAGGTTTTGGGCTTTATACGACCATAGCCATACCTATGATTGGGGATCAGATCCAGATCGTTGAGCCAAGTATCAAAATCCTGGACCTGTCCCGCATGAGGATGACATGACTTACGAATAAATTGTTCGTGGAAAGGTGCACTTCTGAGCCGCTGAAGACTGAAGGTTCAAGTGCCCGAGCTGACTTATGCTAACGTCCTCTGGTGTTGCATTGGAATCTGGGGGCTAGCTGTACGGCAGGCTGAGCTATGCCCTCTCAGTACCGTGGCTAAGGAACTCAAGACCTTCCTGAGTCTTTCTCGCAGGAAGTTTCATGAGCACTGGACCAGGGCGATCCCCGTTAGGCAGGAAGTCCAAACCACCTCACTAGCTGAACGTAGCATATCGTGGCATGCAGAGTTTGGCGGGCAGCTCTTACCTAGTTCTGAGATTCTGGCAGCTCCACATTCTACGCCTACGCCTCAAGCCCTGAACCTTACGCCTTACCCTTCAGCCACTGCAAGCCCTACATCATCTCAAAAACCTCTGCGCAACTACCTCCCTGAAGCCGCAGCATCGCAGCAAATCCCCAACCTCAAGCCCCCAAACCGAAAGCCTACATCCCCAAACCCTACACCCCAGGCACAAACCCCAAACCCCAAAAAAAAAGATGAAAGATTGGAGGGTTCCGGATTCTAGGGCTTGAAAGCTGCATACCTGGGGGACTGCCCTGGACTCCACGATTGGGAACACTCCCGCTCGGCAGATCGCAGCTCCTACCTGCCCGGGTTGGTTTGGAGGGGGTTTTTGGGGTTTCGACTTTAGGGTTCAGGGATTGCGGTCTAATCCTGGGGCTCAGCACAGCAGATGCAGTTGTCAAGGTTGGATGGCCTGCTAGGAGCTCTGATGCGACAACAAATCGCAAGGGAGCCAAGAAAATTGAACCAGAACAACGCAAGCACAATCACGATGACCTCTGCTTGGTCACAAGACGCCCACCTCAAGAGTGCCCTGGATTGCAAACCCGACAACCGTGATCACGAAACACGTATCTCAGATTATATAATTCAGACATGATTTCTGCACGCACTATCATGTCCGTCCCTCAGGTTAAAGGTCCCGAATGACGGAATGCGCCTGCGAGCCTCAAATCGTTGCACGTCGGCGTGGGCCCTCTCCACAAAACTCTTCGATAAAGCCCTTGTATGAATCCCTCAATTCTTCAATACACTTTCGGGGTTCAGGGACATGACCGCCATGTTTCCCATGCACGTGGCGATTCAGGAGCACGGCCAAATTTTTCTCCCCATGCACGGGCGGGAATCAAGGACATGACCAAAGTGTTGATTCAGAGATTTCGAAGCTAAAACCAATGCGGCACTGCACACGCAGCGCCAGGACCCCCGAGTCCAACGAGAGGGTTGTCATTTGGCCGATGGATCGCGCTTGCCGGAGGACACGGACCTCCAGCAACACCGAGAGGGCTGTCAATGCTGAACACGAATCGTTTTGGCATCCCACATACACAGCGCCATTTCGCACGATCGAACACGCCCAGGCCGCCAATTCCGATGACGCATCGTCACGGCACCCACACGCCACAGTGCCATTCTACCATGCACGGCACAGACACACATCTGACCCCTTGACAGCTCCAACCCTGGCCTTACTCCAAGGGGCACATCACATCATCATCAGCGCGAACTCATTGTAGTTGATACGTCCTGTAGCAAAGCATGCTTTGCAAAAAAGTGTATAAATTTAAGGTTTGAGGGATCCAGCTCTTGGACCGATTAACTTTTGTGTACCTCGATGATTCTCTGCGCAGGGTCTTATGTTGCGGGAGGTGTGTAAGTCTAGAACCTTCGGGCAGGGATTACGGTCGGCTTGTTTGAACTCTGACCCTGAAAGATCAGCACTCACAACTGGGTTAAGCCGCGCGAGGCTACTGGTCCAGCACATGGGCCACCCGCGTCAGTACACTTAAGGAGCCGGATCTCGAGTTTCGGGGATTGTGTTTCGTTTGGCGTTCAGCTAGGGTACTTTGAACGAGCTTGATGCCGCGAATCTTGAAAATCAGGCCCTGCTCTCTAGATCCGAGACCGCGTAACACACCTTCATTTGCACGGTACGGCGAAGTGCTGGCGGCAAAGTGAACATGAAAGAGAAACAACACTGCTCGTCTAGAACCTCGACAGAAACCTGCCAACTTGCTACCGTCAACCCTTTGCGACAGGTCCATCTTCGTCGGTGTCAGCATCTTGCAACATCTCGTCCAACTCATCCTCGGAGCACAGGAGTCCAGTGCTTCAGAGTCTGGGCAATCTAGCACGGTTTAGGATGGGTCAGGTCTGGAGGACAACCTACAGTCCTACAGCGACCTACAGGATATCGAGTAGAGAATCTTCAACTGAAGCTCTAAACAAAAACGCCCGCTGCAAAGCCCTGCAGCCGGAGCTTTGGCCAAGCTCTGACACTGGAGTAGGTCTCGGTCGGGAATCAGGCTTACCCTGCACCTCTTGCTGCTGTCAAGCCTGTAGCCAACTGCTGGCTGAGCTCAGCTTCTGATTCTAGCGATGGCTTATGCCCCAAAACATCCTCAGCTTCCAAACTTTGCAAAACGACCGCAAACCTAAACCCACAACCGGAACTTCAAGCACAAACTTCGACATCCATGGCTCGTCATCGTATTCTTCGCCCATGCTTTTCATCACCTCTCCAAGCTCGTGCTTGTCGATGAAGCCGTTACCATCCTTGCAATTTGATCTAAGCTTGCCTGCAACTGCTTGTAAGTCTGTACTTCTATGTGCCTAAGCCACCTTTCCTCTGTCAGTCGGTCGGTGTGTCTGTCTGCCTGTGCCTGTCTACCATGCATGCGGCATCCACGCAGGCATGGACTTACACAAGGTCTCATACAGCACTGCAGAGATGGTTCTCAGGAGTGACAGGTATTGCAGAGAAAAGTAGGGTGCATCACAACTTCGCCACACACTGATAAGGAAGAACCCAACCAAGTGAAGGAACAGCTAGAACTCGAATCCTAAGCACAGGGGCTAGACGTATGCTACTTCCGATGTTGTGGTTTACTCTTCGAAGTAAACCGCAGGATTCACGGCTTCAGACGACAGAGGCTCGGCAGTTTCTGGCCGATGGCTACGTGCCATTTAAATGCGCGAGCCACGGACGGTCGAGGTCTTCTCCAAGTATCCCACACAGCAGAGGATTTCTGGTGTCGAGGGCCTAAACCGCTAGAGTTACGGGCTCGCCGTCGCAGAACCATTGCTGTCGTTGCTTTTATCTAGGCTAGAGCATGCGGTCGGGAAGCACAACAACTCCCTTCGAACTTTCAAGGAACCCCCAAAGGCAACAGCCAAGCCTTGTCGAACATACGGAAAGTCTCGATCAACTCCTGCAGGCCAGGACTTATTGATTCTACTTGTAGAAGTCAGTCGAATCCTTCCGCAACCCGGTGATTGGAGCCAAGGGGTTCCCTGTTCTCCGTGATCGGGCATTGCTACCATCACCTACGAGTCCATCCCATCCTAAGCCTGAACATGAAGTGTTGCATCAAAGACGGCTGCGGCGGTGCTTCTCTGCAGCGGTTGTGATATTTGCCAACCCTGCGATTCCTGATCTTGCCACGAATCGCAAACCTGCTCGCGCCCAGTTCCAGAAGAGGCATCGCAGTCTTGGGCAGGCTGTAACTCGAAATCCGAGAAATGCAACTCAGCTATCGGAAACTCGCAGATCGTGCCTGTCCTGAATGTCGTCTTCGTCATAACCCATTTCCTCCAGCAGCTCTCGATCCTGAGGCTAATTATTTAACAACAACAACCAAGACACTTACTCTTTGGGTAGAAGGGCCCACTGGTGCGGCTTTGGGTGTCCTTAGCAGACGCAAGCTTCTGAAAATCAGAAGTCCCACCGCCAGTCCTGTTTCAAGTGGGTCCGCGTTCATCGGACCCGAATATGTTGGGGCTTTTGCTTTGTGACGATTGAGGCAGCGCTTCATGCTTTCCGGCTTCCGATTATAACGACTAAGGCTGCATGCTGTTTGGAAGCATAAACCCACAGCTCATATCAGTCTGAGAATAATAAGATACAAATTGCTTCTGGAAGGCCGCTTTGCTAGGATAAATGGACTGATGGCTCGCAATTGGTCTATTGACAGACCTGAGTGATGTAGTACTTTTGTCGAACCCGGAACATGCCGTCCGCATGCCTGCAGGAATGATCACCTGATGCTTGCACGCCTGCCAGGCAACAAGTTGTTCAAGAGAGAACATTCAACCTACTAGTCCATGATGTTGATCTCGTGTAAAAGCGTAACCACCCACTGCATGCACATGAGAGTATGTAGGTGCAGGTGTAGAATTCGACTACCGTCGGGCTGCGGCGACTGAAGGGGACCGCAAAACCAAACTGTACCCAGTGGGACCGCTTGTCAAGGACTGCATCCGGACTTGTGCAACCGCCTGAAGGTCTGATTACAGGTTCAGCCGTCATGACTGCACTTCCACACCCTGCTCAAAATCCTCGCGGGGACCGCCTCGACAACACACACACACACACACAAGGACCTGAACCATCCATAACGGGACAGTGATGGCCAACCCTCACGACACCCGACCCTAAACCTCAGAAAAAACAGTGTGCCGTGTGTCCAGTTCTTCGTTCTCCTTTTCGAGCTCCTGCCGGCAGGTGTTGATAAGGGGGAGTGCACGGGCCGTCATCCTAAGCCCCGAACTTCTACGCACCTGGACCTCTCAGGCCCAAAATCCCTAAGCCCGAAGATGCTCAGACTGAAACCCTTGACCCAGTTGCGCGCGGAGCACCCGCAACCGGCGACTCCCCGAATACCTGGACATTCCCGACAACCCTTGAACCCTCATCCCAAACTAACTCATGGCACCCTTGGCCATCCAGAGCCTCTAGATCGGACAATAGGATCCGGGGTTCAGGGGCAGTGGAGTTTAGGCCCCTTCAGCAGGCTTGCATGCATGCCCTTGGCACTCCAAAGCACTCAACTTACGGCAGGAAGTCAGCCTCATCTGCAAACCCTCGATCTCTCCTCCTGTTCCTTGCGCCGACGCAGCTCTTCCTCCTCTTCCAGCTCCTGGCTTCAGGATTCAATGCTTTGGGCTTGAGTTTTGGAATTTTGCGTCTTCGTCGGGTATTAGGATTGTGCAAGGCTTCGTTTCGGATTTCCCGGTGCTTGATTAAAGTTCGACTGCCTGAGGCTTTCATCGACAATAGACTCTACTTCAGGGCGTGGGTCTAGGCTTTTATGCTGGCCCGGTAAGTGGCTTAGGAGCTATTGTAGTAGGGTTCTAGAGAGCTCGAGGAAGCAACGTCGCTCCTTGGGGTGTTTTCTTTCTGTGCTCTTCTTCCTCGGGTTGCTATGCGAGTGTAAGATTTAGGATCCGAAAGCCGAATGCCAATCTATTCGCCTCAACGAGCTGACGCAGTCAAACCACTACTCGACCAGACGACTCTGAGCCCATGAGCCCAAACCAACCTCGGCTTTGACGTAGACTCCTTCACAAAATAGACCCTCCCTTAAAGGGGGCAATGAGTTGTGGGCTCGGGATCTCAAGGTGCCTGGCCTTCTCAAGCTCCTCCATCTGGCGGGTGTACTCGTCCTCCTCCCTTGGCACATGGTTGCGGCTTCAGGGTTCAGAGTCTTTGTTCCGCCCCTCCCTACGTCGCAGGAAAATATGATTCAGCTTTCATGTTCTTCTGAAGCCAGCATTCATCCAGACAGCCTGGGTGGGCCAAGCCTGGCGGGGGTGTTCAGAACCTAGAGCTTAGAGTCTAAGAGCCACAATAGTCTGTACCTAACAAACCGCAATTGTCGAGCGCACAATTCTTCAGCCATAATCAGTATACGATAGACCTGCAAGACATAGTTCCTCAGGGCAGTGGCTCGAAGCATCAAAACCCCAATCGATAAGTGCACGCTTGAAGCGGGCGTGAAGCAGTAAACCAACTTCTCAGGTCGATCTCGCCCCTCAACCACGAACCCAACACCTTTTTAGCCCACTTCGGCAAGCATGGGGTGCTCTGTAGCCGGGGGATGGTTGCACCCTCCCCGGATAGACGAGCCAATCAAGCTCGGCGGTTCCGCGCCCGGAAGCCGGTATGGTTCTGTGGTTCACAGCTCGCCCGGGCAGCATACAGAGTGCAACTCTGACATGCTGCTTACCGTTGACAACTTCAAGGCACAATGTCGACTGTTACACGGCTTGCGGGTCTGCGATTGCGATGCAAGCGCTGAATAGCAAACATTGAACAAGGCCAGCAGACAAAGCTGCAAAGAACCGGATGGCATTTACCACGATTGTGGTAGCACGCGAGCTCTCAGCTAAGGTAAGCCCTAAATGATAAATTTCAGAACTTCAATACTGCCCTTTTCGGTTCCTGGGTCTTGGCCTGTCCCTGACTGTCCCTCTCCAACATCGCCCGGCATCCCTGCGGCGCCTTTCTTTACCGCGCTGCACATAGGGTGCCCTATGCACACTCTGGGCATGCGACGGAGGGGTCCTGTGCACTAAAACCGTAGGCAAATTCCGTGCCATAGACTGCACGCAAACCGAACTTTCCCAGCCGCCAACCCTCGGGACCTGTGTAGACATGAAAAACACGTGGCTCCAATCGAGAAGCCGGGATGCCGTGCAGCTGGCGGCTAAACAGGAAGAAGCCCTAAAGCAAAGGGGATCGAAATCAAGCGGGCCGGAAGACCAGACACGAAGTGCCCGCAGAAAGAAGTGAGACACACAACCATGCAGCAGAGGCGAAGAGGCTCGACCTGAATGTGATTTCTTCGGGCTTGGGGTTTATGTGTCAGGATGTAGGGTTTGGGGTTGTGCAGATTAAGAACTAGGGCTTAAAGCTTTTAGTCAGGCATCGGGCTTACAACTTCCAACTTTAACTTGAAGGATCCGGGGGTGACGCAGGAAGCCGGGTCATTCGTGCATCTTCATAAAAAGGTTGCCACTATCGCAATACGTCGCATTACAAGCATTCCATGTTCCACCATCCTCGAAGTAGCCCTGCCCTGGCCATGCGGGAACCTCAAGTATCAGTGTGACTAGTATTTGCTAGTACCACTTCTAGAGCCCTGCATTAATACCTAACTGGACCCCTGGACTCTAGACACTTGTCCACTCGGTGGTTCACATGCCTGATTTTCTTTAGCTCTTGGGCATCCAAAACACCGCGGCGTCACCAACACCCCTAGAAACTAAATTCGCGAGAAACCTAAACACTGCCTCATGAATGGCAGCCGGGGTACGTGTACGCCCACATGGAAAGAGAAGCTCCGGCAAAGAACCAGGCCAAGAATGCCAAGAACATCCTGGAGGGTTAAGTTCTAGGTGTTACAGAGCGTGTCGCTTTCTTTCAGGTTCAATGCTAAGCCAGTATCTATCTGAGTACCTCTACCTGTCTATCTAATATTCCATCCGTCCACCTATCCATCCCATCTACCAATCCATCCATCTATCCACCTCTGTCTGCCTATCTATCTATCTATCTGTTTGCCTACCTACTTACCTACCTACCTACTTACTACTTACCTACCTACAAGTACCTACCTACCAGTACCTACCTACCTACCTACCTACCTACCCACCCACCCACCCACCTACCTACCTACCCACCGACCTACCTACCTACCTACCTACCTACCTACCTACCTACCTACCTACCTAGTAGTAGTAGTAGTAGTAGTAGTAGTAGTAGTAGTAATGGTAGTGGTAGTTAGTAGTTAGTAGT